ATATTTCTCTAGGCTCTTCAGATGACTTCACCCCCTCAGCCACGCTACCATTCTGGTAAATCTTCTCTGCATCCTCTTTAAGCCCTGACTTCCTAAACTGTGGTGCTGAGAACTGAACATAATACTCTAGCTGAGGTACAATCAATGTTTTATAAAGGATTCACATAACTTCCTTGCATTTGTGCTTTTTCTTTCCAAACTTTGACCATGGGACCTCTGTGTTGGTCCATGGTTATGCTTAGCAAGGTACTGCAGTGGTTTGTGGTTACCTTCTGCATATTGTTGACCAGGAGTCTCTTTCCTTCATATCAACAGCAGTTATGCTTGAAGGGTTTACAAGTTGATACTAAACCTGTTTGGCTGCATTATGAATGTACATTCCTTGATTACAAATGCTAGATTGGGACTTGAACCTGGAATTTCTGGCTCAGAGGCAGGGACAGTACCAATATGGCAAAGGTCCACCTCATTTGTACTCTCTTTCTTAATTTATAAAGCCAAAGAGCCCATATGCTTTTTTTTTAACAGCCTTCTGTATTTGTTTTGCCACCTTCTTGGATTTGTGTACATGTACCACCTACTGGCTCTGATTTTTCACCACCTTCTAAAATGTACCATAGGATTTTATTGCCACACCTCACTTTTCCTACTAAAGTGTATCATTTCACAGTTCATTGTGTTAAGTTTTGTCTACCATGAGACTGTACACTTCATCAGTGTCTATATACTTTCCTGAATTCTGCTCCCATGTTATTAACTGTCTTTAAGTTAGCAAATAATCGTTGTCAGCCCTTGGAGACACACCAATGACCCACACTGATTTTCTACTAAACTAGGTCTTTCTCACCACCTCTATTTGCCCCTTCTGTCTTTTAGTTTACCTCCCTCTCTTATATCAATCAGCCTGGTGGGCTTAGTGTTTCCAACTGTATCAGAACATTATGCATTCAAGTTGTACTCCTAGGATTACTCAATTGAGTGGAGTCAAGTAACCCCTACGTTGAAGTTTTTGGACGAGGTGGGTTGAGATGGATTCAGTGGCGGTATGTCGGGAAAAGCAGGGAGTTCTGTGAAGTCTTGGCCAAGTTTTCCTTAGACAATACTATAATGAATAGATTAATGTGTTATTTATCTTATTGCTACTCGGGATCTTAAACTGTGAGGTAAATACTACAGTCTTCTGAATAATTGTGGCCACTGTACAATTCTTCCAAAAGAGGAGGATATTGGACAGAGAATAAATCCTAAATTGATTAAATGCAAAATAAGAGATAATGTATAAATAAAAAGTGTACAGGCAGTCCCCGGGTTGCGAATAGATTCTTGTCTGGCGTCTGGCAAATCAATTTGTACACAGGTCTGAACACAATGCAGAACAATATGAAGGAACTGTTTGTATGTATGTGAAATGTTTGTATGTCGAATCTTTTAAATTACATCCTTGTATGAGATTGCATTTTAAAGTTGGACGTTCCTGAATCAGAAACCCCCATTCCCCATATTAGACAAGTTAGTGAAGCTAAAGGGAAACACATTGCCAGCACCCAATGGGAAACATCCAAATATCCTGAGTGAAAGGGAGGAAGAAACAGTACAAGACCAAAACATTATAGACAAAATTTTACAGGCCCCACCTGGATTTGAAAGCACAGAAGGAGTTTTTTTATTCATTTATGGCATGAGCCCATCACTGGCTCGGCCAGTGTTTAATGCCCTTCCCTAATTGCCCAGAGGGCAGTTAAGAGTCAGCCACGTTGCTGTGGGTCTGGAGTCACATGTTGGCCAGACCAGGTAAGGATGACAGTTTCCTTCTCAAAGGACATTAGTGAACCAGGTGGATTTTTCCGACAATTGACAATGGTTTCATGATCGTCATTAGACTCCTAATTCCAGATTTTTATTGAATTCAAATTCTACAGTCTGCTCTAGTGGGATTTGAATCCTGATCCCCAGAACATGACCTGGGTCTCAGGATTAACAGCCTAGAGATAAAACCATAAGGCTGCCACCTCCATAAAATGCATTAAAAAATGCAAAAATTTCTCTTAAAATGCAGCACATATTTTGCATTCTGCCTAGCCACCTGCCTTGACCCGTCTGCCATTTTATAGAGGGGCTGATGGGGAGATGTCAGGCTACTTGCTTTTGGACTTACTGAGGCCATTAAGTGACAGGGTGTAAGATGGTTATCTTTCCTTCATTAAGTCATACATGCCTTTAATCCTCCACCCCCAGCCCCTCACACCTGGCTAATTCACCTGATGCCTGCACTCTGTTAGCTAGCTGCTGCTGATATGCCAAATTAACTTGAAGCCCAGTGTCCATAACTTCCTTTTCTTTGGTGACTGGAGTTCCAGAAATGGACGTCATTGAATCAGATTGTTGCAGCAGTCTTGACCCTGTTTAATTAATGTCCTGGCGAGCCTTAAATGGCTGTGGGGCAGTTGGCATCATTGAAGATACCTTCCTCATCAACTCTTTGGGTGCGGGTATGGAGAAGCCCACCATCAAAATAATTCTGCTCAGTATTTCAGGGTTCTACTGAGAGTGGGCAATTACCAGAGAAATGGAAAATAGTTGAACTAAGATTCTTTTTCAAAAGGGGAGCTAGTGCTAATCCAGGTAAATATGATATAAACAAGCTTGAAAACCGTGGTGGGAAAAATTATAGAAATTTTTAAACATTTTTGATGAAAAAAATAGAACCACCTTCATAAAGAAAGATTGTACTTGGCCAATCAATCAAGTTTTTCAACTTGAGGTAAAACAAAGAACTGCAGATGCTGAAAATTGGAATCAAAAGCAGAAATTAGAATAAACTCAGCAAATCTGGTAGCCTCTATGGACAAAAAAAGAGAGTTAACATTTTAAGTCCAGTGGCCCGTCTTCAGAACATTCTGAAGTTTCTCCAGCAATTTCTGTCTTCACTTTGCGGAGTTAGCGGTTATGGATAATGTAGTGTACAAACTTCATGGAAGTCTATGGCAAAATGCCACATTAGAGATTGTTTTTGGAAGTTTAAGGGTAGAAAAATAAAACTGGTTAAAAGGGAGAAAACCGAGGGTATAATGTGCAGTTTCTCAGTAAGGAGTGGGGTGCAGTGTTTCAAGGGTTCTATTCTGGAATCTCTTCCCTTCATAGCATGTATTACTGATTTGGATTTAGGACTGGAAGGTGTTTAAATTTGCAGAAGATACTAAAATAGGCGATATAAGTAATTCTGAGGACGAAAGGAAGCTGCAAAATAACATACAGGATGGTGGAATGGACAAATGTGGAGATGGATTTCCATGTCAGCAAATGTGAGATGGTACATTTTAAATACAAGTATTACTACACTCTAGTGGAGGGGGAGGTTTGGTGATGTCAAAGAACAGACGAAATTGGGATTTTAGGATTAGAGGAAATTTAAAGAAGTGCTTGGGTGGATAAAGCAATTAAAAAAACAATCATTATTGGCTTTATAGCATGAGGTGTAGAATATAAAAGCCCATGCATGTGTACTTATAAAACTTCAGTATACTATAATTGGAGTACTGGAGTACACTTTTGGACTTGTGCGAGAAAGATGGAGAACATACCACCTTCTATGAAGTCAAGACATCCCAAAATCTTTTGTCAACAAAGTATTTTTTGAAGTGTAGTCAATATTGTGTTTATGAAAGTTGCCATGATGTGGAGGTGCCGGTGTTGGACTGAGGTGGTCAAGGTCAGAAGTCACACAACACCAGGCTAGAGTACTACAGGTTTATTTGAAATCACAAGCTTTTGTAGCGCTGCTTCTTCGTCAGGTGAAGTGAAGAAAAGCATACAGGCACAGAATTTACAGGCAGAGAGATCAATGGGCAGAGAGATCAAATGATCATACAAATCGCGTGAGTGGAGTGTCAAATAATAAGTCTCTGTAGGTGATCAAGTGTCAGACGGTGTGAGTAAAGTGTCAACAGCTGAATAGTAAGTGAAGGGGATGATCTATAATCCAATTATTTGAGGCAGAGAGATAATTACAAAAAATAAAAAAATAAGGTGGTGTGCTGGGGACAAACCGAATGACTGGAATAACATGATAGGTATAAGAGTCGCATGCCGAGGGTCTAACCAAAGTAACAAGTAATCCAAAACTGTACAAACTAATTAAGGTAGAGAGGTTACAACAAGTTATCAAGGTGATGGTGTTAAAACAGGACAGTGAGGAAGATTTTACAAATACAGAACAGTATGGTGGGGTCACATGTAGTGTGACATGAACTCAAGATCACGGTTGAGGCCTCTTCATGGGTACAGAATTTGACTATCAGTTTCTGCTTAGTGATTCTGTGTTGTTGTGTACCTCAAAGGCCACCTTGGACAACGCATACCTGAAAATCACAGGCTGAATGTCCTTCACTGCTGAAGTGTTCCCCAATTGGGAGGGAACATTGCTGTCTGGTGACTGTTGCGCACTGTCCATTCATTTGTTGCCGTAGCGAGAGCATGGCTTCACCAATATACCATGCCTCAGGGCATCCTTGCCTGTAGCATATGAGGTAAACAACATTGGCTGAATCACATGAGTGTTTGCCATGTATGTGGTGGGTGGTGTTCCCACGTGAGATGGTAGTATCCATTTCGATGATCTGATATGTCTTGCAGAGGTTGCCGTGGCAGGGTAGTGGGCCCTTCATCATCCAGTACTTCCCTGGAGCAGAGAAACTACGCCATGTTCTTCGCAGCCTTCAACATGTCATCGATGCTGACAAACATCTCGCCGAGATCATCCCTAGACCTCCACTTCTTGCCCTCAACCACCAAACCTTAAACAGAGCATCATTTGCAGCAGACTACCCAGCCTTCAGGACAACATTGACCACAACACCACACAATCCTGCCCACGGCAACCTCTGCAAGACATGCCTGATCATCGATATGGATACCACCATCACACATAGGAACACCACCCATTACATACACAGCAGATACTCATGTGACTCGGCCAATGTTGTCTATCTCATACACTGCAGGCAAGGAAGCCCAGAAGCATGGTATATTGGTGAGACCATACAGATGCTACGGCAAGGATGAATGGACATTGCACAACAATTGCCAAAGGGGATGAGCCCTCCCAGTCAAGGAACACTTCAACGGTCAAGGACATTCAGCCTGTGATCTTCAGGTAAGTGTCCTACAAGGCAGCCTTCGAGATACACAACAACAGAGAATCGCTGAGCAGAGACTGATAGCCAAGTTCCATACCCATGAAGATGGCTTCAACTGTGATCTTGGTTCATATTGTGCTACATGTAACCCCACCATACTGTTCTGTATTTGTAAGATCTGCCTTACTGTCCTGCTTTAACACCACTACCTTGATAACTTGTTACGATCTCTCTACCTTAATTAGTTTGTACAGTTTTGGATTACTTGTTACTTTGGTTAGACCCTCGGCATGCGACTCTTATTGTTATTCCAGTCATTTGGTTGGGCCCCAGCACACCACCTTATTTTTTATTTTTTGTAATTATCTCTCTGCCTCAAATAATTGGATTATAGATCATCCCCTTCACTTACTATTCAGCTGTTGACGCTTGACTCACACCGTCTGACATTTTTGATCACCTACAGAGACTTAGTATTTGACACTCCACTCACACCATCTGTATGATCTTTTGATCTCTCTGCCTGTAAATTCTGTGCCTGCGTGGTTTTCTTCACTTCATCCAACGAAGGGGCAGCACTCCAAAAGCTTGTGATTTCAAATAAACCTGGTGTCGTGTGACTTCTGACTGTATTTATGAAAGCTGGTAACTAATTTGCACACAGCAAGCTCCCACAAAAGCAATGGGATAGTGATATTTTTAAAATGTTTATTTAGGGATAAATTTGGTCAAGACATCACAAATATCTCCCCTGCTTTTCAAAATAGACCTACGGGACTTTCTATATTCACCTGACAATGCAGATGGGGTTCCAGTTTTGTGTCTGTGCAATAATAGCACATTTGACATGCAGCTGTCCCTCAGTGGTGCACTGGAATGCCAACCTTGGCTTTTATGCTAAAGTCCTGGAGTGAGACTTGAACTCACAATCTTTGATTCATGGATGCATCCAACTGTGGCATAGCTCATATCTACATAAGTGACAATTATAACAAAATAAAATAGTGCAGATGCTGGAAATTTAAAATAAAAACAGAACATACTGAAAATACTCTAGGTTTTTCCTCATAGATACTGTCAGACCTGCTGAATATTTCTGGAATTCTGTGATTTGTGTCATGAGCTTGCTGCCTAGAATACGTACAATTATACAATCACTAAAGACAGATCTCAAGAATTGGATTGGTTCTGTTTGACTGAAAAAAAAGGGGTTGAATTGATGAAGGTGTTTAAAGTTATGAACAGTTGTATGACAGGAGAGGTAGAAACTGACAGGTTCCCACTGATTGGGGAATCTTGAACGAGGAGATATACATATTAAGATTAAATCTTGGAGCTGCAGCAGGTAAGATAGGGAGAGACTTCTTACAAATAAAAGTCAATGATTGGAACAGAGACCATATTAATATTTAAGAACAGAGTGAGATATGTTTTTGAATGAAAGGGGATTAAAGGTCAGGCACATGAAATTGTGAGCACACGAAGACAGGATTTGGGAGTAGGCCAGTGCTTTTGTTCAGATAAACACCAACTAATTTATTTGTATTAATTGCATTTGAAGCACTTTTAGGGTGTTAAACTGAAAATACCAGTTTCATTTTTTAAAAAAAGAGAAGTGTGATTTAATTCTATTCGTGTGGAGTAAAAATGGAAATTTGAGACAAGAAGATTATTCAAGATGAGTGCTTATAGATGGGTTTTGTTATTATCAACTTGAAATTTGAGGGGCTTCCAAAGTTAACTGATTTGTCATGAGGAAGTTCCTTCTGGGTAAATAATATTTTCATTTTTAGTCTAACTGAATTATTCCATAGGAAGTTGTTACTTCCTTTTAAAAATTTGTTCTGTATTCAAAAAGTAAAAGGGTTTCAAGCAGCAAATCTCTGGTTTCCAATCCTTCAATCATCTAAGATTGCTGAGTTCCTCTAATTCTGTCCTCTTTCACACTCCGAATTTCCTTTGATTCATACAGCAGCCTCAGCCCTAAGCTGTGGAAATTTTCCCTAAATAATTTAAAATTAAAACCTACCACTTTGACAAGGCTTTTATTATGTGCCCTAACATCTCCTTATGTGATTCAGTGTCACAATTTCTTTGGTAATTGTCCTGAGAATCACTAGGGGATGTTTTACTGTGTTAAAAGTGTTATCAGTTCTGCAAGTGTGCACCCACACAAGTAATAAATAGGCTGCACACATGCAAAAGTCTTGGGGAAAACGATGATTAAAGGCATGCTATAAATGTAAGTGGTTGTTGTTGGAAATATTTGAGTAATATTGTGTCATTGTCTTCATTAGTTTAAAGTCAGACATTCCAAGGAGTTTACAATGATGGCCATGCAACCACGGAGGATTCGCTTGAAACCATGGCTTTTGGCACAGGTGGACAGTGGACAATATCCTGGGCTTCAGTGGCTGGATGACCAAAGAAAGCATTTTCAGATCCCATGGCGGCATGCTACCAGACATATCCCCACCCAGGATGATGAAAACACAATTTTCAAGGTGAAATGGATGATTCTAATGGCTTCTTGTTTGCTTTGTGCCAAACAATTTTGCTGTAAATTGTTCTCCTTCTTCCATCTATTTAATGAATCTACTCAGAGGAAGACTAATTTGGATATTACTCACTGGGCATGAAATCAGTGGATAGTATGTTATTGTTTATTTTATACTCATTGCCCTGGAGAAAGTAATGGAGAACTGCCTTGAACCTCTGCAGTCAATGGCATGTAGGTTAAAAAAAACATTAAATTCATCTGTTTGGACATGTTGTGACACAGCTCCATGGCCATTCCATCCTGGCACTTGAAGCTGCTCCTTCTGGCCCATAGATAGGGAAACTATCACTGCACCACAACATGCTTTCATGTTTCCTGTAGGTATATGCACTGCCGTTAAGGATTTTCAGCAACATCTTTAAAATAGACAATAAAATCTTTGCACATAACCAAAAGAACAAAATCATAACTAAAACTTTTTGCTTTCAATCTGGAACAGCTTCTGTGAACTCCTCTTTGGAAATAACCCACTCCCTTTTAACAATTCTTGTTGGTATTCCCAATTCTGCTGATACCATACCCAGCTTGTGAAACATGTTGGAGCTGTTTTGCTACATTTACAGTATTTTTTATATGTGCAAAGGAAATAATAAAGAAATTGCATTTCACAATCTTGATGTCCCAAAGTGCTTTACAGTCAAGGACTGGTTTTGAAGTATTGTCATTTTTGCAAGTTAGGAAAAGTAGTGGCCAAATGGCACAAAATAAGCGCCCACAAACAGCAGTGTGAGTAACTACATCAGCAGTTTAGGTAGTATTATTAGTGGATGAATAAATACCAGAACAACAGGGATGACTAATGGTGTTGTGGGCTTTCTTACACTTTCCTGAGAAAGCAGGCAGGATGTGTAACATCTCATCTGAAAGATGTTTTTTGTCTGGAGAACCAACATTGGTAGCCTGTGGTTAAAGTAAAATGCCACCAATCCACCATTCTACTCTTTTTAAATGAACAATAGAAGTTTGGACAGTTTTTGCGGGGACTGTAACAAAAGGTTGAAAGATCAACAGAAACTTATAACAGAAGTTTATCAAAATTCAATGAAAATACCACTACCAGCCTGATGATGTATCCAACCCCTGCAGGGTGTTCCTTTCTAATGATTTTAATTCAACCTGACCAGACATGTTATAACACAGCTCCAGGACTAGTAGGACTCGAGCCCAGACTCCTGACCCAGATGTAGGGACTCTACCACTGCACTACAAAATCCCTTCAGGTGCTTCTTTCTACTGTTTTAAAATTAGGTGACGGTTGCCCTTTCTATCTTTTAAACAATCAAAATCAGGTTAAAAAGTCCTGGATTGGGCACTGTAACAAAAATATAAATTAACAATTAGCGGAACCTTATAGAAGAGAATGGAATGGTCCTTTTTTCTCTCTTTTTTAACCTTTATGTTAACATAATTGGACTAAACAGTCCCTGATGGGGCACTGTAACAGAAATACAATTGAACAATTAATGGAAACTTATTAAAGGGAATGGAACGGTCCTCCATTCTAGATTGACTTCAAAGGCCTGTTTGATTAACAGTGGTAGAGGATGAATCACCTGTGAATCTGAATAAGAAGATGTAATTGTTTTAACAACAATATGTAGTTTATTGCATGATAGCAATAGGTACAGTTTACATTGTCAGGTAGACATGTTATGAAGACTATCAAGGGGAGACACATCTAGGACCATTGGGATCTGGAGTTGGACTCCTTAATTCTGCACCCAAGATTGTATAACACCATCAGATTTGGTGGAGTGTAATGTTTCCAATATTAATTATTTCAGAATCATTAATTTATACAACAGATGATGTTTCTGATAATACAGCACTCCCTCAGCACTACACTTAAGAATCAGCATCAAGTAGGTGCCAAAGTGTCTGGAGTGGCACTTGAACACATAACCTTCTGACTCAAAGCAACAACTTGGGTTTATATAGTGCCTTTAAGTGGGATAGCCTAATGGTAATAACAGACATTGAACTAAAGAAGGAGATTTTAATGGTGTGGGCTAAAAGCTTGATCAAAGAGAAGTTTTCCGGAGAAGTTTGGAGACAAGAGTTTTAACACACAACCTGCTGTCAGCTGTGGCTCTATTTGTTTTATATTCCATTTTGTCATAATGTTCTTTCTAAAACTAGGCTTGGGCAGTGGAGACAGGCAAATACCATCAAGGAGTTGATGGGCCAGATCCAGCAAAATGGAAAGCAAACCTCCGCTGTGCCCTCAACAAGAGCCGGGAGTTTAAACTGATTTATGATGGCACTAAGGAGACCCCCATGCAGCCATATAAGATCTACCAAGTGTGTGACCTTCAGCAGTCCAATGGAGGAAATGTCACTCCAGGTACAAGCTGCAGAAAATCCTTCAATCCCTCTCAGGTCTTCCTTCCCTCTTCTTTCCCTTTTTGCTTTATTCTGCCTTGAAACCTAAAACAAATGTCAAACTCATTTGCATGATCTTTCTTCATTCCCCTCCCCAACATTAGTGCAAAGGTTTATAATGGTGATGTGTAATTATTGATACTGGATCAGCAACTTAGAGATGATGGACTCAAGATTCTACCATGACAGATGGTAATGGTAATGGTGAGTTCAGTAAATGTTGTTAGTAGTGGGCTTCAGGCAGAAAATAAGTGGAAGCTGCCATATTATTGCAAAATCCAACTGCTTCCTTAGCCGGCCAGTAACATCCAATCCAGTCTCTATATGGCTCCAGTTCCACATTTTAAATTTGACTCTCAATTGCACTAGGTCTGCGAGGCAATAAATTTCTACCTCATCAGTGCCTCTCTTATCCAAAAAGAAAATTGAGTTGGATATATTTCCACCTTTGCAGCAGATTGTTTGCCTTGTGTCAAACGCACCTAGTTTACATTCCATTCAAAAATTCATAGAATAAAGATCAGCCCATCTCCAGTCCAGTATAGGGGAGGTAACAGCCTAGTAGTATTATCACTGGACGTTAATCCAGAGACCCAGCTAATGTTCTGCAGACCTGAGTTTGAATCCAAGGAGATGGTGGAATTTGAATTCAGTAAAAAATCTGGAATTAATTGAAATTAAATTAATCTGAATCATTGTCAGGAAAAATGCATCTGTCTCACTGATGCCCTTTAGGGAAGGAAACTGCTAGCCTATATGTGACTCCTCTTAACTGCCCTCTTGGCAGTTGGGGATGGGCTATAAATCATCCTTCATCCTGTGAAAAATTGCAAGTACAAATTGAAAGAGAGAAATTCAGGACTGCTATTCAGAAGCACACTGAGTAATTCATCACTGAGTGTGAGGTGTGGGTATAGAAAGAGAATCCTGCAATTATCAGGGCATTTGGACATTGCCCTGGGGAGATTGTCGGTTTTAAATGGAAGAGCGTTCTCCATCATTCTATATATCTACGTAACATGGCCAATCTCTACAAGGTAGTGACTGATACAGCAACCTGAAAATTTAACATCAAAAACACTAAAGCTGTCCTCAGTGGCTAAAAAAATCTGCTGTGAATACTCAGATGCCTTTCCCCTGTCTCTGGGGCTCTCAACCAGATGGGTGATACTCTCCATCCCTGTGGGATCTTCACACTGTCTCTTTCTTTCCTCCACCCTAATTACCACCCCTCTCCATCTCTCTAGTTTGTTTTGTGCTATCAGCAAATCATAAATTTCAGTATCCCAAGTGTCGAATGACCTGATGCACAATACAATGCTCTGCTATTTTCAAAAGCCTTGTTGGTGTTCCCTGTTGAAAATTTTTCATTGAATCACATAACACAGTACAAGAGAAGGCCATTCATCCCATCAAGTTTGTATCAATTTTTGAAAGATCTATCTATTTAGTCCCACTTACATGCTCTTTCCTCATTGACCTGTAAATTTTTACTTGTAAAGAAAGAATTTACAAGTTCCTTTTAAAAGATAACATTAAAATGTGTTTCCACCACCCTTACAAACAATACATAATTACAACTTATGAAAATTTATTTTACACCTCCAGGTCTCCTGTAGATTAGAAACCTGCATCATTTCCCTGTAGGAGAGTTGATGGCCTAGTGGTATTATCACTGGACTGTTAACCCAGAGACCCATATAACATTCTGCCCTTTAGGGAAGGAAACTGCCATCCTTACCTGGTCTGGCCTACATGTGACTCCAGACCCACAGCAATGTGGTTGACTCTCAACTGCTGTCTGGGTAATTAGAGATGGGTAATAAATGCTGCCTAGCCAGTGATGCCCTAATCCCATAAATGAATAAAGGAATAAAAAAATTTAATGCTTGCATTGAGTTATGGGCAAGTGTTATAGTATCAGCCTATGGAGATGAAGGTTGTACCATATTTGTCTTCCTGGAATTGAAAAACTAATATAGACAAAAGTGAACCTTTTTTTGGGTGGAGTAGAAGGGAAAGGCAAACTATAAATGCTGGAAGTACGTGGCAGGTTATGGCAAGAAAGACTGCTAACCATTTTGAATTTGACCATTTATCAGAACTCAGATTCTTTCCAGGGATCTGGAAAGAATCAATCCATTGTTCCTTTAATTATTATCTGATGTGTCTTTTTTCTTTCCTTCAGAGACTATTGACTATGAAGTGGATGATGAGGAAGAGGTAAATGTATCAATAATTTTAACTAGTCTCTTAAAGCGCCAGCTCAAGTATGAAGGCCAAAGAGTCTCCTTCTGTGCTGTAACATTTTGTTATTGCATGCCCAGCTATCTGGAACTAATATTCTATTGACTCCAGCCTTGCAATTTGAAACACTGACTTTCCTACATCTGAGACCTCTGGACATGAAGTTCTTTCTAAGTTTGACAGGATCCAGCTATGCGATTGAAAATAAACCCATTACAGAAATGGCTTCAAATTTGAAGCTAAAAGGATTAAGTAATTCAGACAGGACTCCAAATCTTGTCTTGTATTCCCTTGAGTTAAAAGGTCAAGAGGTGTTTAAAATGATCAAGGGATCAAATAGTCTAAATACAGAAGAATGATTTGCTCTGGCCGGAGACATGAAGTGAATGGGACCCAACTTGAAGAATATAGCCATTCAGAGGTGAAATTAGGAAACCTTTCACCAAAAGGTGGAAGTCTAGAACTCTATCCTAAGACTTTAGTTGCTAGGAGTCAATTGGAGCTTTCAAGATGTGATTGATAAGTTACTGTTTGATAAGTATATAAGGGACGTCGAGCAAAGGCAGGCGAATGTAGACGAGTTACAGGTCAGTCATGATTTAATAGAATGTTGGAACAGGCTTGAGGGATAAATGACTTCCTCCTGTTCCTACAACATTATCTTGATCCTGTTCCTAGGTTAAAGACACTGAGGCCAATTGTATACCCCACCCGAGACCAGTCTTACACATCAGGAATAGAAACTGGGATCTTGCTGATAAGTATTACCCAGATCACCTCAGGCTGCACCTGCCCAATGAGCCAGGGATACTGCTAATTATTAACTTGGTGTAATTTGCAATGTCTTTTTTTTTGACAAGTAATGTTTCATAATGTCTTAGCAAACCTCTACTCAGTGACTGATTTGTTTCTTTTATTTTTGTAGCAACAGCTCCAAGTTTTGTTTCCATCAATGACCTTGGAAGGTGAGAATGGGCTTCACAATTATTTTGTGGTTTTTGGCAGGGGATTTGGGACAGTGAGTTATTTAGGATGAGATAAAGTTACTTCTTCTTAGGCATTTCCTCTGAATCAGGAACTCATGTTCAATGGGCTTTCAGATAGCCAATAAATGCAATTCATGATCTGCCACAAGTGGGAGCTGACAGGTGCTTGCAGTATGGGTGGTTGAGTTGCTGGGTGGTTTGTGCACTCCCCAAATGGTTCATCACTGGCCAGGGACTCTTATGAGTTGGGAGGGGAGGGTTGTTTGACCCCTTCAGTAATACTTTGAGGACATTGCTAAAGTGTTTCCGTGATTCTTCGCAGAGTCTCCTCTTGCAAGATTGCAAATGCAACAGTTGCTTCAGGAGTCTGGGGTGTCAGAACTTGGCTTGGTCCTTGAATATGGTCACAATCACAGTGTCTCTGATTTTCCCCAATGCACTCCATTTTCCCAGATGAGGGAAATGAGGTCATGCAGTTATGCCAGGAATCTATCTCTGTCATGTTGTAGTTTTCAGCAGGGATTCCATCAGCTCCAGAAACCCTTCCTGGCAAACACTAAAACCAGTGCCTGACCCAGTGTTTTACTGTGCTTTATTTTGTCTTTAAGGACAATATTTTCATTTTATTTTTCCTCTCTTTTTGATTTGTGCCAGATAATGCTAGCCTACCACCGTACCCAGCGCAGACTTGGTCGAAACAGGAAATTACAGTGCCTGATTCCTGCATGAATGGAAGACTTGCTAACCCGACACTCCCGCAAGGGGACCTTTCCCATGCAAATCTAGATCACAGTGAACTCTCTCAGCCCAACCTTACTCATGGAGGCCTCATTCAACCGAATGTCCCTCCAGTCACTCAAGAAACTTTTAATCCACTCCCACCACAGCAAGTGGACCAGTTCCCCTCAATGACCACATCTGAAATGTTTATCAACTCTCTGCCGTGTAAGTTACTATTTCTTCTTCTTGGCTTCCTCCTGCATGACGTGAGAAATGTTGGCAGTTTGCATTCGGGAGATGTGTTGACTTCATAAAGTATCAAAAATTGGTTATTTAAAACATTTAGAATAGAATTTTGACTTGTGCATTAGTACTAGATAGGTATTATGCAATATACACTCTATTTGTGATTCAGTTCTGTTGAAGGAATTGGATCTAAATATCCAGAAGGTAAAAGAACTAGTCGTTCACACAACCCATCTGTGTGGGGATGGGAATAAAACATTATGCTAATAGGATGGAAAAAGGTCTATGTGTAGCACAAATATCACCATAGGCCAGTTGAGCCAAATAGCCAGTTTCTGCGCCATATATTTGATCTCATTGTATTAGGCCTGGAATGAATTTGTTAAGCTGTGTGGGGATGGAGTTTGTTTGCATCACAGCTGAGTTTCATTCTGCCTTCGCTGAAGAACTGTACAAGTGATTTGCCAGGAGCAATTAAAATCTTGGGATATTTAAACTCTCCTCCATTTTAAAATGAAATGACATAGTTTGTTTTATCATCGTGTCCCAAAACACTGCCGTAGCAGTTTTTATACAGTGAAGTCACTGATGTAATGTAGGAAATGCAGTAACCAACTTGCACACAGTAGGCTCCCAGAAATTACAGCAAGATAAATGACCAGATAATCTGTTTCTTTGGTGATTTGGGTTGATAGACAAATTCTGATCTTTGTGCTGTGCTTTGAAATAGTGTCACAAAATCTCTTAATATCTTATCTGAAAGTCAGCACCTCTAATTGTGCAGCTTTCCCCATAGCTGGAGTCAGACTTGAATATACTCTGACTCGGAGAACAAGAATGGACAAAACTACGGCTAACACTGCATAACGTTTGCTTGCTGTAACACCTGTAGCATGAGCCTCATAAGCACCATCTGTGTCATCCTTTTCACATACTGCAGTATTTACAGTACAAATACAGGTCTTCTGTCGCAACTGTCTGCGTTTATGTTCCACACAAGACTCCTCCCATTCCTTTTTACCATCTCTAGCTTCTCTACCATTTTCCTTCCTGTGGTTATCTAGTTTTTCTTTAAATGCATCTGTGTTATTTGTGTTAATTACTCTTTATGGTAGTGTGTTCGACAGTTTTTTAACGATCTTGGGCAAAGATTGTTCTCCTGAATTCTCCATTAGATTCAATAGTGACCACATGATATTTATGACCACTAAAGTGTTCTGTTGTCCAAGTGGAAACATTTCCACAGCTACTTTATCAAACTGTCCCATAAACTTAAAAACTTCCATCAGTTAACCCAACAGCCTTCTCTCAAGAAAGAGCCCAGCCTGTTCAATTTTTCCAGGTAGATGTAACCTCTCAGTTCTGGTGACATTAATGTTCTTTACACCTTCTCCAGTGTTTCTATATTTTTATAATTTAGAGACCAGAACTATTTACAATACACCAAATGCGGTCTAACCAAGGTTCTGTCTCTTCCTATGGGGCAGTGACTGACCTGGATGTGAAGTTCCAATACCGGGGCAAACAGATGGGATCGTTGATCACTGTCAGCAACCCTCATGGCTGCCGTCTGTACTATGGCGACCTAGGCCCTATCCCAGACCAAGTGGAGCTCTTTGGACCCATTACCTTGGAACAGGTCCGTTTCCCCAGCACGGACCAGGTCTCTCATGAGAAGCAGCGATACTACACCAATCACTTGCTGGATGTCATGGACCGGGGTCTCATCCTGGAGATCCATGGGCAGGATATTTATGCTATCCGCCTGTGCCAGTGTAAGGTGTACTGGTCTGGGCCCTGCGCTATTGGAGCACCAGGACCCAATCCCCTTGAGAGGGAGAAGAAGATCAAACTCTTCAGTTTGGAAAACTTCCTCAGTGGTGAGTTGGTTCATTTTTTAAAAATTTGTTTATTTTCTTTTGTTTTGTCTGTTTGAAACAAGGTCAGGGATGTAAAGTGGGAAAGGAATACTTCCCATTTTGGGTGCTCAGTATCTACATAAACCTTTCCCAGCTCGGGTATAATGTGATTAAATACAATGTAAAGGTCACTGTCATTCATTCAAATAACTTGCTTTAGCCCCAATCTCAAAAGAATGTTCTCAAACAGAACAAGGAATACAGCACCTCTAATAACATCAGGATATCTCGGACGGCTTTACAGCCAATAAAGTTGTTATCTTAAAATGTAGTCACTATCATAATAAAGAAAACACTACAACCAAATTGATCATAGCAAGGTCACACGAACAGCAATATGACATTAACAAGATTTTGGTGACTGTGGTGGTTGAGAGATAAGCATTGGCCAGATACTGGAGATTAGTGCCATGGGATGTACTTTTTATTTTCATCTGGACGGATCAGCAGACAGATTTAATACTTTTTTGAAAAGGTGGCAATAACGTGCATTTATATAGTACCTTTAACATAAAAAAATCCCACAGTATGCCATAGATGAGAATTCTAGATCTAAAGGCAAGGCAGCCTAATGCATATCCATTAACGGTGGAGCAAAGGAAACTGGTGAAGAGTAGAAATCTAGGAGGATTTTAGGGCTGGAGGAATTTACAGAGATAGGATGTAGCAATGTCATGGAAAGATTTGAAAACTGGGATGGAAGTTTCAAAGTTAAGTTGCTCCTTCATATATGCATGGGAGTGCCTGCACAGATTTTGTGATCAAGATTTTAGATTAGGACTTAAACCCATAACCTTCTGACAATGAAATATATGGTCCCCAAGGATCTGGCCATTGTGCTGCAACAACTTTTTATCAATGTTGTTTATCATAAACGACATTGTACATGATTATGCTAAGGATAAGCTATGTTTCCTCTTCCTCCTTCTCCTCCTCTTGAATTGTCTTATGAGCTACCTGCAGCCTTCAGCATGGTTGGTCATGTCATCTTCTTCCAAATCTCTCATCCAGATCCATTCTTATTTTCCTAATCATAGCCAGAGTGTCATTTGCAATGGTTTCTCTTCTTGTTCCTACATCTTTACCTCTGGCATCTCCCAAGGATCTATCTTGCAATCAGTCCAGCAACACCTCTGCACCTGCTGACCTACATTACCTTCTGTTTAAGCAGCATTTGGATTTTAACATTTTCAACTTTTTTTTTTCAGTGGTTCCTTCCAGGCCCTCCAGGATAGCTACATCAGTTTCTTTAGCATCCTCTATTTTAATTGCTACATGATTGGCAGCTGCAAGTTCAACTTCCTAGGTCATAGCGCCGGAATTCCCTCCCTAAACCTCTCTACCTCTCTTACCTCCTTTAAGACAATCTCTTTAACCATGTTTGTGACTCTCTTACTCCAATATCGCCTTACAGGGTTCAATGTCAAATTCTGTTTTACAGTAGTCCTATGAAGTGTCTTGGAGTGGATTATTCAGTTAAAGGTATTATGTAAATC